GACTGCAAGGCATACCCACTATATATGGTTATAGTTTTTTCTTTTACATGTACTAACTTTTTTTGTCATTTAATTTTTTTATTGATTAATTTATTACATATGTGTCCTTATCCCGTTACCCCATATCCCCCCCACACACATGCCCTCACATGACCTTCCCCCGGCTTCCCCTACCCTGCAGTATCTTGCATCATTGGTTATGCTTATATGCATAGATACAAATCCTTCGCTTGATCTCTTTCCTCCCTCCCCAACTCTCCCCAGCCTTCCCACTGTCGTTTGATAGTCTGTTCGATGCTGCTCTGCCTTCTGTATCTATTTTTGTTCATCAGTTTATAATGTTCTTTATTATCCATAAATGAGTGAGATCATGTGGTATTTTTCTTTCACTGACTGACTTATTTCACTTAGCATAATGCTCTCCAGATCCATCCATGCTGCTGCAAATGGTAAAAATACCTTCTTTTTTACCGCAGCTTAATATTCCATTGTGTAGATGTACCACAGTTTTTTAATTCACTCATCTACTGATGGGCACTTAGGCTGTTTCCTAATCTTAGCTATGGTGAATTGTGGTGCTATGAACATAGGGGTGCATATATCCTTTCTGATTGGTGTTTCTAGTTTCTTGGGATATATTCCTAGAAGTGGGATCACTGGGTCAAATGGAAGTTTCATTTTTAGTTTTCTGAGGAAAACTCTATACTGTTCTCTACAGTGGCTGTACTAGTTTGCATTCCCTCCAGTAATGCAGGAGGATTCGTTTTTATCCATATCCCCAGCACTTGTCATTTGTTGATTTGTTGATGATAGGCATTCTAACAAGTGTGATATCGTACTTCATTGTCGTTTGGATTTGCATCTCTCGGATGATTAGTGACTTTGAGCATGTTTTCATATGTATGTCCTCTTTCAAAAAGTGTCTATTTAGGTCCCTTGCCCATTTTTTGATTGGGTTGTTTATCTTCCTTTTGTTAAGTTGTATGAGTTCCCTATAAATTTTGGAGGTTAACCATTATCAGAGATAACAATGACAAATATGTTCTCCCATGCAGTGGGCATTTTTGTTGTTTTGTTGATGGTTTCTTTTGCTGTGCAGAAGCTTTTTATTTTGATGTAGTCCCATCTGTTTATTTTCTTCTTAGGTTCCATTATACCGGGAGCTGTATCAGTAAAGATATTGCTACAACATATGTCTGCTATTTTGCTGTCTATGGATTCCTCTAAGATTTTTATGGTTTCCCGTCTGATGTTTAAGTCCTTTATCCATTTTGAGTTTATTTTTGTGTATGGTGTAAGTTGGTGGTATTTTCTTCTTAGGTTCTATTGTATCAGGAGCTGTATCAGTAAAGATATTGCTAAAATATATGTCTGCTATTTTGCTGCTTATGGATTCCTCTAAGATTTTTATGGTTTCCCGTCTTATGTTTAAGTCCTTTATCCATTTTGAGTATATTTTTGTGTATGGTGTAAGTTGGTGGTCTAGTTTCCTTTTTTTTACATGAATCTGTCCAATTTTCCCAGTACCATTTATTGAAGAGACTCTCTTGACTCCATTGTATGCTCTTGCCTCCTTTTCAAATACTAATTGAGCATAATGGCTTGGATTGATTTCTGTTTTGTTCCATTGGTGAAACCTAGATAATTTTACTAATCTATGTCCCCCCAATAAATTTAATTTAAATAAATGAATAATAGATGAAACTATATGCAGGATAGTAGGGATATATGGGAATTCTGTGTACTTATCATTCAAGTTTTAAATTTAAATCTGCTCTAAAAATAAAGTTTTTTAATATTAAAAAATGTAACTAAGGATCCCCAGCTTTTTTCTGTTTGAACAAGTACAAAGACTGCATCCTTGCTCATTAGGAAAGTCATCAGGGATGTGTACATACAGCATCACACTGCCAGGACACTCCAGAAACTTCCATTGCAACCATCTCCAAAAGAATAAAGTTTGAACAGTGTCCAGAGTTGCAAACCCACAGGTTTGCTAATTCTGTAGGACAATTCACAGGGCTCAACATATAGTAATACACATGGCTAAGATTTATTTTAATGAAAGCATACAAACAAAACCATCAAAGGAAAAAAATACACGGGGTAAAGTTCAGAGTAAACTAGGTGCAAATTTCTAAGTGTTCTCTCTTAGTGTAGTCATACAGGTCAAACTCCATCAAGGGATTATGACAACACATGTGCAATGTTGTCTACCAAGGAAGCTCACTAAAGACTGAGTGTCCTGTCCAGCCGGTATGTTTCAGTGGTTTTGCATTGACCTATGAGTTCATAGGTCACACAGTTCGATTCCCAGTAGGGGCACATGCCTGGATTGCAGGCTCGATCCCCAGGAGGGGGCGTGCAGGAGGCAGCCGATCAATGATTCTCTCTCATCACTGATGTTTCTATCTCTCTCTCCCTCTCCCTTCCTTTCTGAAATCAATAAAAATGTATTTTTTAAAAAAAAAGACTGAGTGTCCTAGGTTTTTCTTGGGGGATGCAAAAAGGTACCGTCTACCAAACATGTACCAAATCCCAGACTCCCAGAAGAAAATAAGGTGTTCAACATAAACCACATTGTTGGTACAGGCAGTCTAGGGAAACTTATATCAGT